GGGAGGAGGGAGGAGGGAGGAGGGGGGAGGGGGGAGGGGGGGAATGAGGATTTCCTCCAATACGAGGGGCGAGGATCGGGTTGCGATCATTATTAGCAGTTGGGTACTATTTACTCTCTGTCTGGAGGCGCGATGACTTGTCCAAGGTTTTTTTGTTGCGTAGACGAGGGAAGAATGTTGCGAAAGAGAGATTTTTTCAGACTTTCGAAGATATCTCTTAGAGAATCTTGCATGAGAATTTTCAAAGACGTCAAAGACGTTCAAAGTTTTCTTTCGCAGTGACGTTACCTTTCACAAATGACGAAAAAAAATTGCGAAGAGCAGAGGCAGATGATGCTGGATATCTTTATGTTGATCAGAGTCGAAAAAAGACTTTAGGGAATTCCTGAATTTGCCTGCTACTCGAAAACATGGAAACTGAAAACTGCGAACCGAATGCGCATTTTTCCGGTCTGAAGGAATTTTCATTATGGAATTCTCGGAAAAAATTTTCTCCCAAGGAAAACATAATGAAAGAATAATTTCGTTATTTCTTCCCAGCGAGCAAATTTGTTTCTACTTCGTCCCAGATCTAATTTTCTTTCGACGACGAGGAGACGGAATTTTCGATTCTTGTATTTTAAGGTTCTTCGATCGGGTCCGATAGCCGATGCAGATGCATGCAGACTTACGCCTCGATTATCCATCGAGCAGACATACAGATTGCATGATGAAATATAGAATTCCTAACCACCTAACAAAGAATTTTCATTGAATGATCATGAGGTGCATTGCCATGAGGTGCATTGCCATGAGGTGCATTGCCATGAGGTGCATTGCCATGAGGTGCATTGCCATGAGGTGCATGGCCATGACCAATGAGTTCGTGGCAACGGGATATCTCGAAAGAATCCACAAAGAAAGCAGTTCCCGGCACCCCGCAGATCCAACTGTGCAGCGAGTGTCCCATCTGTGCAATGGATGTCCCATCTGTGCCCAGTCCCCACGTCTAAGCGCTTCCTAGAGAAATAGCGGAATGAGCTCATCCCGCAGGGACTCGTTCCCCGGTTCACCCACGCGCGTCCTCATTTGCGTGAAGCATCCGCTGCCTCCTTCTTTTCCAGCTTTTGTTCTTCCAGATTCTTCCGCTCCCTTGCGACATCCTGAAAGGGTGAGGATGAAGGCGCGTGTAACGTGACGGCGGGGATCCCTGGAGTGTCCGGTGCAGCCGTAGGGAGACGCGGGGTGGCCGTTCCGCTCGAGGCAGATCTCGTCGAGTTTGTCTCTCCGCGTGTTTTCCGGGTTTCGACGCCGGTCGCAATCGGAGGATAACGACTCACTCTAGGCATTGCACATTCGCGATTTCGTCCCTCGAATGAATCGTACCAAAATCGGAGCCGAAAGTTGGAATCTGTGAGCTCCAGCCACCCAGTTCGTCTCCGTTTGATTTATGTTGACAGTCCTTGGCTTCCTCCGGTGCAATTACGTTGGTAATCCCCCGCCGGAATCGATTCCCGGGACGGACGAGCGTCGTTCCTTGCGAGGCGGATTCCCAGTGGCAAGTACTTGCAGGTACTCCTAAGTCTTTCCGCAAATGCTCGGCTGGTGAAACTGACGCAAGCATTTCAGCAAAAAAAAAAGAGAATCTCGAGTCGAAATTTGCTCACGGATTCGGTCGCAGATTGGCCGCCGATTTCCATTCGATCCCGACTCGAGACAGGCGAGGAACGGCAAGATGCACCAGATTCATTCCTTCATCGATCGGGGGGGGGAAAAGGCTCCAATGAGCACGGAAACGAGATCGAGCTATTGAATGTTCGGTCGGAGTTTATTTGATCTCATCCCCAGATTAGAGGGAAGGAAGAAAAAAGAGATTGCTGGCGTCATCTTGTTCAGCTCTTATTTCGGTGCCAGACTTGTTTTTCTCGGTCGCACTTATTTAGTTTCCTTTCATCGATCGGCTCCGTTTTTTTTCGTATTTTGAGTTTCGGCTATTAGATTCGACAGTGTGACGAAAACTCCATATTTACCTACACTATTTCGCCTCGTACCTTGTTTGTCTGCAAAACATCGTCTGGAAAGGTGTGATTTGTCTCCAACTACCCGTCAATTCCACGCGACTCTTTCCCCTTTCCATAAAACGTACATAGCTGCATTTCGAATTGGGGAAGAGCCAATTCCAGGGAGGAAAATGGAAATGTCGTTTGGAGCCGCGCTGGAGAGTTGCTCCGGACGGAGAGCCCACTGGGGCCCACCGGGGCCCACTGGATCCACTGGGTCCACCGCATCTCAGTGTGAGGAAGTAGTCTCAGGAAATGAGCCGGCCGTGACTGGAGCGCGCCTAATCGCGCCTAAACGTGTAATATCTGCCTAATAAGCATTTATTAGCGTAACTGGGATGGGTTATTGCCTCCTAATAGAGGAAAATTTTATTCGATTCCTGTTATCGGTTGGGACCTCTAATAGTGACATAATAGTGTTGGTTACATCATCCTTGCCCATGTGAACTTTCCTTTTCTGGCGTTCTGAAGGCTAAACTTGGATTTCGTACTGTGGGTGACATGCACCAGATCCGTTCAACTTGAAACTGATTCTTTTTCATAATGGGCGTCTATGGGAATAAGTTTTTCTCTGTTGAACTGATTCCCATAGGGGATCATTGTGAACTCAGATTAGTTTAGCTGAAACGGTTCCGGTGCATGTCACCCTCAGTCCTCAGACTGAATTTAAAAGAGGGAAAACTGTCGACTACATACGGAAATCCAAATTTGTTTGTGAATTTCGGACGAGATTCGTGCCCAGAATTGACGACATCTTAGGTATCTTCATCCTTATGCCGCGATCGTGATATTTAAAAAAAAATAGCACAAATAACGCACTCGTATATGATACTCGCAATAACGATTTTAAATATGAGCAGCAAGTTGTCACCTGGTGAGTTTTGTATATTATTATATATTTCTCAAGAAATATATAATAGATTCAAGCAGCATAATCATCAGAGGCAGGTTATCACTGAGATGTTTCATCGCCAAGTTTAAGTGGATCGCAGATTTTAACGGGGTTTTTAAATTACCTATTCGCATTTTTTGTCATCGGCTAACTGGACGCCACGAGTCAAATGTTATGCATTCCAGTTTCGCTATTAAATACCCTCTAGGCTCCTAATTACAGCATAATAGCATCATAATAAACAGGACCCATTCTTGTGCAGCCCCCCCGGGAGTCTTGTCTCTTTTAATGAGATTGCGTAACTCGGAATGTCACCTTGGTCATTTTCATGCCTCATGGTTTGGAAATGAAGGTCACCCGATAACAAGACGGCAAATTCCTCTGCTTTTCCATGGGCTTTCTCCACATCTAAGTCCGATAGATGGTGATGCCTCATCGGATAGGGTTTTTTTTTTTTTCCTCTTTGTAATTCTAGGCTCGATCTCGATGTGTCTCGCTTGACCTCTTTCACACGGAGATGCCGAACCCAAATGCATGTGATGTTACACATCCGGTTCGATCTGGAGTCTACTCTGCATTATTCATGCGTTTATCCAAATTAACTTCTTCGAAGCGTGAAATCTTCGATGCCTTCGAGCCAAGGGAAGAGAAATGACATTTATATGTTGGCGTTCTTTATATGGTCATGGACTTTCCCTTCGCTCCAGACGAGAAAGAAGGGCAGGACAGGTGGTATTTCGGTGCAAAATCAAAAGTCGGTCGTGGAGGTATAAGCGCGAAATGCAGTTTATTTTATTTGGTAACACTTGGTTTGTTCCCTTGCAACGAAAAGATACGAGAGAAAGCAGTTGTGGAACAGGGGAGGATCTATCACAAGACTCGAAGAACATCATCATAATTTACGAATTATCGTTGAATCGAGGAAGAGCAATACTGGGATCCCGAATGTGGATGAGGAAAGGAAGATTGAGACCAGACAGAAATACGATGATCCTCAGGTACAGATAACCAAAAAAGTTGTTTCGTCCACACAATGTAGTTATGTACATCCATTCATCAAATGGAGTAGGTAGGTAGGTAAAGGAAACAAAAATGGAAAAAATCTTTGGAAAATAGTGACATTATAGCATCTTTAGGAAATTTCACTTTTTCTCTGTACAGCTCTTTGGATATGATGGGGGGAGGGGGAAGGGGAAGAAATGCATCCACCAAGTCTCTCTGGAGCTCCCCACATTAAGGACTGAACCGAGCAGGCAATCACTGGGCATTTCAGCATTATCACAATCGAGGAAAGGGAAATTTTTGGTCTGGGGATTCCTTGACTCGAGTCGTTCTCAGACGGCCGAGACGTCTCCACTTGTGTATTCCCTCAGGAGGGCCCTGAGTCGAGACACTTCTTTCGAAGTGCTACCCAAGTCTGACGACAATCGCATCTCCTTCTCTTTCATCTTCTTAATGTCACCCAAACAAGTCTGCGGGAAAAATAAGAGAGACTTGTTTTTTGAAGTTGCATGTAGACGAGACACGTAAATTTTGATTAAGCTCAAATTTAGTAAATGGTACGGACGTGGTAGAAAACTCAGATTGAATTAATTGATTTCAGAAATATTTAAAGAAAAAAAGAAATGCATTTGATACGATTTTCGTAAGCATGGCACGTAATGGATGGTATGTCAAAGGCAAGTAATGGAACTTTGAATAGTAAGCTGCAGTGAAGAATAATGGTTGGTCAGTAGCCTCAAAAATCGAGAATAGGAGCGCGACTTACAACATTCTGTCGAAGGAGATCCAACTTGTCACACTTGAGCTGGTTGACTTCAGCACGGAGCGATTGGAATTCCCTGACCAAGACCCGAATGTCGATCGAAGACAGGGTGACGTTCCCGTTCCCCCCGGGGCGAGGGCTTTCCAGCTTCCTCAGCATCTGCTCCACCGCCTCCAGGTTCCCCCCGCCTCCGTCGCACCCCTCGATGCACCCGTGGCCGCCGACCCCTGCTTCCATGCAGAGGGGGCACCCAGGTACGCCCTGGTGTCCGTGGTGGGCCTCCCCACTGGACATGCTTTCTAAGCCGGTGTCGCTGTCGTCGTGGCGGTACCGTTCCAGTTCCACGCTGTTGAGCGACGAGGAGTCCGACTCGGACAGGGTCACTCTGCGTCACGGGAAAACCGAGGTCACGAAAGGTCCGCGGGAACACTTAGATCTACCTTTAATACTCGAGTATTTCGTTCGCTCACCGATCGTTCCTGTGTGCAGGGGATTCAGGACTAGACTGGGGGGATGGGAGGTCACTGGATGTAGTCGTCTTCCCCATGCTTCCATTCTCGGATTTCCCGCTTCCGACCCTTTTCGGCATCTTTACCAACTGGAGGTGGAGACAAGAATGGCACCTTTTCAAAAATATGTCACGATTTTGCCAGAAATCGCAGGAGACCATTTACAATCAGGGTTCCCGACACGAGGCACGCAAGTTTCAAGCGGCCCGCCCCCCCCTTCGGGTGCTGCTTATGGCTGATTAGCATTTTAATCATTGCGGAAGTCATTCAAGGCAAGATAATGCAAATAAAAAATGCAAACATATGGACGAATTCTGATACCCAATTCGAAAAAAACGAGCAATTTTTTACTTTTAAGTTCGTAGCGTTACAGGTATACTGGCTTGTCAGCACTTTAATACTGTTGCATTCCGGTACCGAATGCTAATGCGAAGGGCTGTACGGCTCTTGAAAGCCAATGAGAGCCACACCTGTGACTCTCGCTGCCAAGATGGGAACCCGTCACGTATGTAGAGTATTATACATCACGAGGCACATTATGGAGTACATACCCCGTGGATGGGAGACGATGACGACCCGTTGACGAGGGGGGAATTGGAGGCGGTGCTTCCGTTCCTCTGATGCACGTGTTGGTGCTGAATGGAAGAGCTGGACGACGACGACGCAGACATGCTTCGTTTGCTGTTGTTGTTGTTGTTGCTACTGTTGTTGTTGTTATTGCTGGGACCCTGGAGCGTTCCGTTGGAGGTGCTGGAGCCGTCGCTCCCGGTTCGACTCCGGTTGGAGAATGCCTTCCTGACGGTGTCGATGAACCGCGACTTCTCCGTTCCGGAGACGTCGGACGAGGAGGAGGACTTGTCCATTCCCCCGACGGTGACACCCGTGAATTCCGCCGTCTTCCCCTGCAGCTCCTCGACTAGACTCGTCAACAGGGACGTCCTCGTCCTCAACTGAAGGCGAGACAACCGATCGTCTTCATACGTTCTCGTATCCATCGAACATCTTAAGGGTCGTCGATGGGATTGCATGAAGCTTACCTCGAGTTTGGAGAACCGCTGCGCCTTGTAACAGGCGGTCTCGGCGTTCACGAGTTTCGTGAGGAGGAACTCCCGAAAATCCGGTCCCTTCCGGAAAACGGCCGGGGTTGGGAGGGTCGGCCCGAAAAACGGCACGTCATCTCGGGCAGTCACAGACACTTTGTACCTAAACACGGAGGCGAGAAGTTCAATTTCATCGTGCATAGAGCAAAATATCGATCATAAGCCTACATCCGGTTTTGAAGAAGCACCGAGACTCCACCCGGTATAGAGACAGAAATATCCTAATTTCCCATAAAGAATGCAACATGCTTTCATCATTAAAAACCTCTCCATGAAATCCTGTTACCAGCTACGTTCACTTATGTATAAATATGGCGGAGTTTCATAAAATGGAAGGGAAAGGACATGAGCCCCCATACCTTGTGTTGGGGGTCTTCGGGTCGAGCACTTGAACGACGACGAAGGAATGGAGGAAGTTGGATGCAATCATGTTGGGCGTGAAGGGAGTGTTGGACTCCTGGAACACGATGGCGACGATGTCGTTGCCGATGTGCCGTTTCCGCTGCAACTGTTGCGGGTCGTTGTCCGTGTACGGGAGGAGCGTGGAGACGTGGAACATCATCTCCCGCTCTCGGTACACCTCGTACACCGATTCCTCCCCCGTCTGACTGTGCTGTGTGTCCAGACCTCCTCGGTACCTGGAATGGGCGTGTCGAATTTCAGAGGTCAGCAGATGAAAGCTTCCGCATCGTATCCTGACCGTACATTCCGATGATAACGAGATATGATCATTTAATCTTTGAATTTTGAAGCATAAAATTACTCAGCCTCAAAATAATTCCACTGTTTTGCTTTCACGTTAATGCAAAAAATATTTATTTCGTTCACGTTCTCTCTTTGCGCTGACTGAATCGATTGACTTACAAAATTCAGGTAATCTGACATATATTCACACTTAATTTTCGGTATTTGCATTTTCCAACTTCGATATCTTTTGTATCGTACCCTTTGTGGTCCTTCAGTTGGATTTTCTGGCCGAGTAGAGAAAGGAATTCCTCGAAGGCGGGGCTGGAAGTGGGGTTCCCGAAGAGTTCCTCTTCCGAGGTCTGACCGAACCGTTGAAATATGACGCCAAATTTATACTGTCGGACGAGGGCTTGTTCGTCGTAGGCCACGATCCGCTCCGACGCCTGGGGGCACACCACCGGCCACCAGCGGAGGTCACCCGCTAGATCTTCGTGCAAGACCTGGAAAAATTCATCGAGATGCAGACGGGATGAGATATTTCAGCTGGCATTCCTCAACCCCTACTTTAAAGACAAAGGAAGAGAGAAAAGAAAGGAGGAGGGGGGGGGGTTGGGCTCGGGGAGAGGACAGATGTGTATTTCCTGTCCCACGGTGTCACAGGACCCTCCTCTACTACATACACACCCACACATGTTTGCATTTGGGGAAGTGTGCAGCTTTCCTTCCGATGCAATAACGTTTTCCTTAGCTCAAAAGAAAATCCATTACGAAAGTCTCTTACGCGTTGAGATTCGGTTTCCAGACGGTGATGTAACCTGTCATCCAATTAGGCTTTAAAGCAAAAATGCTTGCATAAGGGATCTGGACCCTCCCCCAAGAAAAGGATGAGATGTCACAAAGAGATGATGGCACCGCACCCTGTAAAGAAGATTTAATTACTGTCTACCCCCCCCCCCCCCCCCCCCCCCCCCCCCCCCACCCA